CACATGATTGCAATTCTGATTGATCTTGAAACCTTTTATGATTGCGTCGATTTGCAGCTCCTGGCGGATAGATTGTGTGAAGCCCAATTCCCTCCTGTCGTGGGCGCACTGGCATTGCAGGCGTATGCAGGTGAGCGACACATAGTCAGTGAAGATGTCTTGAGCGAAGGCATCAAGCCACAGAAGGGAATTCCGGCTGGCTGTCCGCTGGCCATCACCATGGCACGGGTTTTCCTTGCACCGATTTTGCGTGAGGCATCAACGTGTGAGGGCCTAGCAGGGCTGGACACGTGGGTGGATGATATAGGAGCGGACTTTGAAGACAAACGGCCGGCTGTGGTCGCGCGCCAAGCCCTGACTGGCTATAGAGTTTTAGCTGAGGGTTTGCGTGGCAGTGGTTTAAAGATTTCCGGGACCAAGACGGGGTTTTTGGCTAGCACAAAAGAAGCAAGGAAAGAGCTCCAAGCGCTTTTGAAACCTGACGAGCCAAAAATCTTTCACAGCATGCGGGATCTAGGAGTGGATTGCGCCCTAGGAAGATTACGCCGTGTCACGCATCAGAAGGCTAGAGTGGGCAAAGGCAAGAGAAGGCAGGGGAAGCTTGCCAAACTCAAAGTGCCGGTGGAGGCATGCAAAGTTCGTCTTTTCAAAGGCAGCATTTGTGCTTCCATGTTATGGGGACATCAGGCCCAGGGCTTACCACCGAGCCGTGTGCGCGACCTCCGTAGAGCTGTTGCCTTGCAAGTGGGTTTGCAAAAGTTGGGTGACCTTGAAGTTGCTTTGAGTGCTGAGGCGGATCGTGTTAGCGACCCGTGGGCAACTGTGGTCATGCAGCAGGTGCAAGAATGGTTCACAGCGCTAAGCCGATGGGGGCCAGAGCAGGCCCCTTTGGAACGTGTGTGGCAGCAGACCGCCACAGGTTTTAGCGAAGGCACGACAAATTGGCATCATGTCAAGGGGCCCTTAGCTGCTACGGTTGGTCACATGACAGGTCTCGGGTGGTCGCTACCGGGAGTCATGGAATGGCACAGGCCTGAGCCAAGAACTGTGTACAACCTGGAAGTAGCTGCTGAGAGAGCGCGGGTGCTACAGGCCATCGAGGAAGACGTTTGTGCTGAGCGGAGCAAACGCATTGCAGCGAAAACCGCCAGCCCTACATTAGCGAACGGTTTAGACTGGTTTGTAGGGCGAAGGGTTTTGCGGCAATTGAAAGCCAAAGGGGACATGGAGCGACTTGTGGGTTTGAGAGCCATCTGGCAAGGCAGTTTGATTTGTGAACATAACAGCCCGATTAAGGTTTGCCCCTGTTGCAAAGAACCGGCCACTTGGGCGCATGTCCTTCTGCATTGCCA